CCGCCGCTCCCCGCTACGGCGGGCGGCTCTGCGCGGCTTCCCCGGTGTGGGAGAGCTCTCCCACCCCCGCGGCGTCTACAGAGGCCAACGGGAACCCTAAGCCGGGCCCCGGGTAGAGCCCGGCCCCCACACTCCCGCGCAGACTACCGGTCCCGGCATGCCCCGCGAGCCGCCGTCCAATCGCGGCGCGCTTTGTTGAGGGGGTGCGGCAGGCGCCGAGGCCCCGTTTCAAGATGGCGGAGGACGGTGAGACAGCAGTGAGGCGCCCGCCGGCGAGGCCTCCGCGGCCGCCGGCGGAGGAGAACGACCACGAGCACTGCAGCGACTGCGAGAACGAGGCGGAGCGCGGCTCCCACAGGGGGTGAGCGGCGGCCGGGGCCGCCCCCGCGGCGGTGACCGGGCCCATTGAGGCGGGCAGCGGCCGGGAAGTGCGCGGCGCCCCGCCCCGCCGGCGCGCTGATTGGCCGCCGGGCAGCATCCCGCGCTGCGATTGGGCGAGCGGCCCGTCAGTCTGGCTGGGGGGGACGGGCCCGCTGGGCTTCCATTCACGCCTGTCGTGGGAGCGTGTTCTGAAGCTAAGCAGGGTCGGGCCCGTTCGTGGCGTGGATGGGTGACGGCCTGCGGGATGTCTGCGGGACAGCCAGAAAGTAGCCGCGAGTGCCTTTTTTTTGCAGAAATGAGCCCAGTTCGCAGCTCTTGTTGTCCGTGCGTTAGGGTGTGTCTCCTTACATTCTCCCTGTTCTCCAGCACAAGCCCCATCCTCCTCCTGGCACCTCCGGCGCTGCGGTGGCACGCAGGGTGGTGGCACGGTTTGGGTGCATTATCCCACTCCCGGGAGCCTGTGGCCTCCCACGGCCGTCGCTGCGCCCTGGAAGAAGCCCAGGCTTCTGCACACCCATCCTGTTGTTATCCTAAACCCAGCCCAGGGTTTTGCAAAGCTCAGCTGATGTTGTCTTGTGGTTTGGAGGAGCGTGGTGTCCAGAGGTATGAGATGGTGAAATAGCAACAATTAGGCTGGGGGCGAGCGCACGCCGCGGAGCAGGACCTTATCTAGGTAGGAAAGATCTAAAATCCCTAACGTAGTACTCTCGTTACTCACTGCCTTAATTAGCGAGGCACAGAGCTGCCTGGCCGTGCCTGTGGTTTGCAGGAGAGGCTTTGTCCTCGTTCCCGCTGGCTTTGCACGCGGCAGCGCACGGGAACGTCACGTGTTTCCAGAGGTTTCCAGGGGTTTTGTGACTTGTGCTCCGTGCACGGGAGCCTCGCCGGGCTCTTCTTCCTGCTTTCCCAGCCCAGCGACGCGGAGACCGTCGCCTTGAAGAGCTTTTCTCCCTCCATGGGCAGCTCTCCGTAGGCAATCCCGCCTGTCCGCTGGGTGAAGTGAATAAAAGGTCACGCAAGAAATATCACAGAGGCTTTTTTTTATGACAGCACAGATGCCTGTTTATATTTTATTTGCCTCCCGGGTGTGGCACCGTGTCTCAGTTTAATAGGTTTAGCCGTGCTTGGAGAGATTTTTCTTTTCTTTCCCTCTGACATGATTAGGTTTGTGGAAACCAGAACCAAGCAGAGAGGAGACGCTGTGCTTAATCACTGTTATTTCCCAGCCCGGCGGCTCAGCCAGCCCTTTGCCAGGAAAAAGTGTGTTCTTGAGCCCTCTGCGCATCCTGGTGTGGGCATCGCACCTTCTGCAGCCCCCAGGAGTTAAAATGCAGTTGCCTGCCCTGGCTTGGGCTGGCACTGAAGCACAAGCAGCTGACTGGGCAGCTTGGGAAATGTCCTGTAAGAAATATACATAGGGAGTTCGGATTGCCCAGGGAATAATTGATCGCATCCTGGGCTGCATCAAAAGCTGCGTTGCCAGCAGGTCCAGAGAGGGGATTCTGCCACTTGACTCTGCTCTGGTGAGACCTCACCTGGAGTATTGTGTGCAGGTCTGGAGCCCTCAATAGAAGAAGGACATGGACCTGATGGAGAGGGTCCAGAGGAGGGTCACAAGGATGATCAGGGGGATGGAGCACCTCTGCTCCGAGGACAGGCTGAGGGAACTGGGGTTGTTCAGCCTGGAGAAGAGGAGGCTCCGGGGAGACCTAATAGCAGCCTTCCAGTACCTGAGGGGAGCCTACAGGAAGGCTGGGGAGAGCCTGTTTAGAAAGGCCTGCAGTGACAGGACGAGGGGCAATGGCTTCAAGCTGGAGGGGAACAGATTTAGACTGGAGATGAGGAGAGGGTTCTTCCCTGTGAGGGTGGTGGAGCACTGGAACAGGTTGCCCAGGGAGGTGGTTGAGGCCCCTTCCCTGGAGATATTCAAGGAGAGGCTCGACGAGGCCCTGGGCAACCTGGTCTAGTTGGGGGTGTCCCTGCTGACTGCGGGGGGGTCGGACTAGATGGCCTTTGGAGGTCCCTTCCGGCCTGGGCAATTCTATGATTCTATGATAATGTTAAAAGTGTGGCTGATGGGTAGAGTGATAACGAGCGTGAGCCAAGGGAGGCTTTGGAGCTCTGCCCCCCAAAATCTAGTTGGGGGAGTGTGGCTGATGGGTAGAGTGATAACGAGCAGGAGCCAGGGAGGCTTTGGAGCTCTGGCAAATCTCCTCTGCCCCCCAAAATCTAGTGGGGGATCCACCTAGGAGAGAAAAGACCAGGCAGTAGGAAAGATGGTGTTATTCTTTTTGATACGTGTAGATTCTGTTGATTTTGTACCGTCACGTTATGCTGGGGGCATTTCTGGTCACCCCAAACTGAGCCCTGTCCCCAAAAATGGGGAAGTGCTTGGAGCCGCTGGGGTTTGTGGAGCGATGCTTGGAGTCCTGCCTCTGCCCAGCGCCTGTCGGGAGTCACTGGATCTTGGCTCTGAGATTTAAAACATCAAAATGTTGCTTAGTGAGAGCAATACTTCCTTTCCTTTTAAGGACAGGAAAGAGGAATTGAGTTTCCTGTGCCTTGGTCCCGTGTCAGCACTGGGAAGTGGCTGCCCTGCTCTCCGCTGCCGCGTCCGAGCTGATTTCCTAGACCTAAAAAAAAAGTCCCACTTTCGTATTTGGGGTGGTTTCCTTTGTGCAGAGGGGGCTGCGGTGGCGTCTCTGGTGTCTGCAGAGGGTTTATTCCTGTCGCAGATAAAGGACACAGGGAAGGCAGAGCCACCAGCACGGGCTGCGCTCCCCGGAGCTGCCATGAGCCCGTGGGATTTGTCAGTTCATGGGCAGCAAGTGGCAGCGGTGAAACCAGGGATTGCAGTGCCCCAGTCCTGTGAAATGGGTACATTGTTGGCAAAGCCAACCAGGGAAGGGATTTTGGGTTCACAGGGAAGGCAGAGCCACCAGCACGGGCTCCGCTCCCCGTAGCTGCTGTGAGCCCCGTGGGGTTTGTCAGCTCACACACAGGGAAGGCAGAGCCACCAGCACGGGCTGCGCTCCCCGGAGCTGCCATGAGCCCGTGGGATTTGTCAGTTCATGGGCAGCAAGTGGCAGCGGTGAAACCAGGGATTGCAGTGCCCCAGTCCTGTGAAATGGGTACATTGTTGGCAAAGCCAGCCGGGGAAGGGATTTTGGGTGGGGAAAAGTCCAGGGAGGGTCCTGTGACCTGACCTGGGTTGTTGCTGGACGGGGGTTTGATAGCAAAGGGGCTTTTCTTGGCAGGACAGCGGGTTGGGTGCTCCCTGCCCACACTTACACCACGAGAGGGTGTTCCTGGGACAACTGCCGAGCTCTCACACACACAGTTTGGGTGTAGGTGTTACCTGGAGCCCCGTAGTGTCACGCTCTGCTTTGGGACCTGTGCTCTGCCATCTGCAGAGCCTCCCTCCCCGCTCCGGCCCCTAATGAGATTACAACCTAAGTACCGCGCCCGATTAGCCCCAGGTTTGGCAGAAGGATTTTCCAGCACCTAAATAGGGAGCAGGGATCTATTATTTCTCATCTGACACCTTTCAGGCGAGGCAGCCAGGCCGTGCGGTGGGGGGATTGCAAACCACACCAGCCCTTGTCCCAGTCTGTGTTTCCAGTATGGATTTTGAGGAAGAACCAGCAGCTTTTGGTACCGTTTGCTGCCTTAGGTGTGAGACAGTCTGTGAGCCCAGGTGTGGCATTTCGATTTGTGTAATGACAGGTGCTTTTTGATCACCACAATGCGTGTGCTGCAGGGAGTAATGTCTGTCCCTGCTGTTGAAATCCCCCCGTGACAACCCAGAGCTCCCCACCAGGCTTGGGGAGCTGTTGGCAGCCGGAATTGTCCTTCCTTGTGCTTCCCCTCCTCCCAAAAATAAGGCTCTCAGATCTGGGAACACAGCGGGATCGTGCCCGGATCCAAGCGATAGCCAACTCTGTGCTAAGCACCAGTTTGTTACTGGATGTGACTGGTGTTTGCCAGCTTCCAGAGGGGCTGAGCTGGGGGAGGACAGTCACTCTGAGCACGTCTCGCCTCGAGCAAGCCCAGGTGATTTATTTAGGTGCTTCCAAAAGTCTGTTTTCGAGATGGCTCAGGTTATGGGTGTTATTTTCTGCGCGGTGGTTAATTGGGGGCTCCTTTCCCTCCAACTCGAGGAGCTGTCTGGTAGCAGGGATGGGGGGGCTGCAGCGATAGGTGATGGCCGTGCCGGCGGCGGTGCCTTTATGGGAGAAGGGAAAAGTGTTTTCCTTGGGCAGAAAACGGGCCGTTGTGGTCCCGCGGGTAATCGGGAGACGTTCCACATAGAGCAGCCAACCTCCTCCACCCGCTTTATCTCCTGAAGCAGCTCGGGCTGGAAGGGAGATATGGGAGGAAAAAAGGCCGTGGGCTGTGGGGCAGGAGCTGGGCTGGGAGTTAACCCTTCCGAGGGGTGACACCCCTTCAGCCCTCGCAGCGACCTGGGTCATATCAGCTGGGATTTCAGGGGGTGGCAGCTCGTCCCAGGACACTGGTGGGACATTGCTGTTAATTTGGGGAGTGTCTGAGGGGCTGCAGCTACACTGGAGCATAAAGAAGATGATATTGGTTTTCCTAAATGGACTTTAAAATAGAAAATACCTATAATTGTTGCATCCCAAGTTGTAACCTTAGGTTTTTCCAACATTTTCCTCCGTGCTGGCGGCTCCTCTGCCAGGTTGGTTTTCATCTCCCAGCTGGAGCAGGGCCCTTCCCCATGTCACAGCACCTGGGAATGCAAACCCTCACCCCACCTTACGCCACCCTGATTTCTTCCAGGTCACGACGGCTTTGCTCATAAATCAGGGGGGATTTTTCTCAGCTCTTTTACCTGGGAGCCCGGCGCGGGGCTGGAGCGATATTGGTTGGGCTGAACTCATTAGCAGCAAGCTGGGAGTTGGCAGCTCTGATTTATGAAGCCGAGCGACACCGAGTGAATATGCAGGGGCTGGGAGGATTTTATTTGTTGCATCTGACACCCGCAGCATCCCAACTCGGAGGTGACCTGGGAAAACGTGTCCTGCTCCTTCAGAAGGGGCGGGTTCTGGTGTCTGCCCTCGCACGTGCTCGTGAACACCCCCTCGTGCCATCACTTTGTGGTGTTAAAATTGGTAAGAAGTGAGTTGGGTGTGTTTATTGCAGTTCTGTGATGGGTGGTTTGCCTCATCCCCAGGACCTCAGTGTGGCCACCCCGGCTGGTTGGGGACCTGCCAGGTCTCTCTCGTGCTCTTGCTGCAAGGAGTTAAAAAAAAAAAACAAACCAAACCAACCACCAAACCCAACCCGTTGCACATTTGTCACCAAAATCAATAGCGGTGTCAGCACCGCTTTGCCGTAATTACTTTTGCTGTCGTGTCAGAGCTGGCATCTCCCCGCGTGGAGGTGAAGCCCTTTCCCGGGGGTGGAAGGAAAGGTGAGGTGTCCCCCCCAAGGGGTGCTGGTGGCTTTGTGGCTGCTCCTCTCTCTGCTCTTGGAGAAGATGCGGGGCTTCTCATCGAGCCCCCTTTCGCAGAGCAGCTCACCCCGTGCGACTGATTGTTCCCCAAGAGCAGATGGTTGTCACCTCCCGGGGTTTCACCTGGGGCTCTGCTGATAGATGGGGAATTATTTTCCTAAACAAGAGTCCCCGCTGCTGTTTGGGTTTTATCTGGAGGAAAACCTTCCCCGGCTCAGCTGCTCCGTGTCCTGCAAACCAGACGTCTCTGCTCCGCGGGGCGAGGGCTGCCCGTCACATCGGGTTTCTGCGCCCTGAGCATCAGCAGCCTCCCCATCCGCAGACATCCCTCAAAAACACATTCCTCAGTCCACTTTTCCCTGGTTTCAAAACTCACTGCTCAGCCCAGGAATTTTTTTTTTTATAACCTTATTCCCCTCCCGGCTCCCTCCTTTCCCTGGCCTTGCTGAAAAAACTAGTTGGATGCTGCTCCGACATATTTTCCAGTGTGTTTCTTCTTTCCTTTCCTTGCTCCACCCTTTTTACTGCTATCTTGTGCTTGGTGAAGACATTAAGCTGGTCCAGGAGGCAGCAGCACTTGGGAGGGGGAGTGGGGTTCCAGGCTGGAGGGTGCTTTTGGTTCACCCTCTGCCTCTGGGCAGGTCAGAGCCGTGTGGTTGTCTCCACTGTTGAAAGCAGAAATCATTTTGGGGGTGCGAGGAAGGAGACACCTGTATATCATAGAGTAAATAATATATTGCTTTGGATCCCCGAGCTGAGATTTGGGGAAAGAAGAGGATGAGGTCCCCAGGCCCCGGAGAGCAGGGATGTGTTGGCACCCACTTAAAGGGTGGCTGTCAGGAGGATGGGGCCAGTCTTTTTTCAGTGGTGCCCAGGGAGAGGACAAGAATTAACGGGCACAAACTGGAACATAAGAAGTTCCATCTCAACATGAGGAGGAACTTCTTTCCTGTGAGGGTGGCAGAGCCCTGGCAGAGGCTGCCCAGGGAGGTGGTGGAGTCTCCTTCTCTGGAGACATTCAAACCCACCTGGACACGTTCATAGAATCATAGAATCATTGAGGTTGGAAGAGCCCCTTGGGATCATCGAGTCCAACCATCTCCCCTACTCTACAAAGTCCTCCCCTACACCATGTCCCTCAGCACTGCATCTAAACGGCCCTTAAACACAGCCAGGGATGGGGACTCCACCCCCTCCCTGGGCAGCCTGTTCCAATGCCCGACCACTCTTTCCGTGAAAAATTCCTTCCTAATGTTCAATCTAAACCTCCCCTGTTGGAGCTTGAAGCCGTTCCCTCTCGTTCTGTCACTAATTACCTGGAAGAAGAGACCAGCACCAACCTCTCTACAGTGTCCTTTCACGTAGTTGTAGAGAGTGATGAGGTCTCCCCTCAGCCTCCTCTTCCTCACACTAAACAGCCCCAACTCCTTCAGCCGCTCCTCATACGATTTGTTTTCCAGCCCCCTCACCAGCTCCGTTGTCTCCTCTGCACTCGCTCCAGCACCTCCAGATCTCTCTTGGATTGAGGTGCCCAAAACTGGACACAACACTCGAGGTGTGGCCTCCCCAGTGCTGAGTACAGGGGCACAATCACCTCCCTACTTCTGCTGGTCACACTATTTTTGATACAAGCCAGGATGCCATTGGCTTTCTTGGCCACCTGGACACACTGCCTGTGGGACCTGCTCTGGGTGGACCTGCTTTAGCAGGGGGTTGGACTGGATGGTCTCCAGAGGTCACTTCCAACCCCATGGGATTCTGTCCCATGGCATCCAGACATGTCCACGACATTGGGGCTGATGAGGGTCCCTGGGGCAGGCAGGGCAGACCCAATCCTGCAGAGCTCATACTGGTTTCCAGTCAGAACCACTCTGGTGTGGGCGATGGTGCCGGCTGGTGGTGAGCTTTGTGGTTGTAGGTGCTGTGGAGATGCCACTTGATGCCAAGAGCAACTTCTGCCCAGGATTCTCCATGGCTCTGTCCTCTCCCTGTCAAGCCAGGGGTGGGTTTTTGTCCTCGGTGAAAACAGAAGAGGAAAGATGCTGCGGTTTTACTGCAAAACAAGCTCTGTGCCACTGACAGGGGTGGGACAGAGCTTTGCAGAAGACCCTTTGTGCGTGTTGGCCGCTGGCAAAGCGTCCCTCGCCTGGTGTCCCCCTCTCGTCCCCTCATCCCTCTGCTTGGTCTGACTCCAGCCATCTCCGGGGTTGAATTCCCACCAGAGTTGTGACCCTCTCAGAGGCTGTAGCCTGGTTTTGGGGACCATTTGCAGGGAGAATCCTGGCTTGGGGTTCCCCAGCTCCGCAGCACCATGGTGGGGTATCAGACACCCACGCTGGGGTGTCTCACACGGGGTCAGATCACACATGCCATGCAGGTCACAGGTGCCTCTCCCATGTTTCGGCATCGTGTCCCAGACAGACCTGCCCATCGGCGAGGCCGGGCTTGGCGTGGGGTATCACACCCCCAGCTGCTTTGGGGTGATCATCAGCTGGGTGTCCAGGGCTGCCCCTCATCCCTGGCAGGGGGAGTGATGCCCTGGCACTTCCACACTGTGCTCCCAAAGAGATTCACTGCTCAGTCTCAATTTTCCAGCTCCACAGTAACAATATAGTATTTTTCCAATCTAACAGCCACCCCTCTCCCTAGATCATCACCTCTGCAGGTGGGGTGATGTTTGGTGCAGTGTCCTTGGCCACCAGCACCTCCCTGGTGGCCTGGACTTGCTGGTGGTGCCTTATCTCCAAGGCTGAACCAGACCAGTGTTTGCTGCTCCCATGTCCCTTCTTTGGGCTCCTTGGGCACCTCCTTGGGTGGGAAAAGCCTAAGCTGGGCATCCTCATCACTCCATGGGGTGGATTTGGGCACGTGAGGCTGAGCGGGGTGATGTGACAGCAAAGAGAAGGTCACCAGCAGCGCGGGGCTCGCTCCCCACCGCTGAGCAAACCCATGGGGTGGGAGATGTTGGCGCTGGTCCCCTTTTGGGAGCTCCCCAGTGGGAGGGATGCTGGGGAGAGGACACGTGGCTGCACCCACCGTGCACCGGGTGTTCCTCCTCCTGGAAACTTGGATTTGGAGCAGGGAGCTTGTCATTTCTTTAGTGAGCTTCAGAAACCCTATAAATGCACTTCGGTAAAAGAAAAGCTCCAATGATGTTTCTTTTGTTCCCTAGTGGCTTGAGTCCAGCAAATGACAGCGGAGCCAAAAAGAAGAAAAAGAAACCAAAACGGAAGAAAGAGAAAGGGGGAGACCAGCCCGACCAGGCTCAGGACCAGTTGGCGAAGGTGACCGACTCCTTCCCCCATCCCAAACCTCTCCCGTGTAACTTAGGGCAAGGAAAGAGTCTCCCAGTCCTGGTTTTAGGCACTCGGCTGCTCCAAAACCTTCAGGTTTAGACTCATTTCCCCGCCTGGCTCCGTGTGTGGGAATTTCCGATGCTGCGGGAGGTGTTTGCGGAGCGCTCCGGGGGGAGCGTGCTCCTTGGCTGGAGGTCCCAGTTGGTCCCAGTGCTGGGTGAAAGGGTCAGACTGGCGCCTCCCAGTTCTTCTTTCCAGACACCAGCTGCCTCCTGGCAGGCAGGGAACGGCCGCGCTGCCTCCTGCCAGCTTCCTCTCCTGCCCGCGGCCGGCCCAACCAGCGCTGCCTCCTGCTCCTTGGACAACATCTGATGTTGTTGATTTTTTTGCTCGATTAACATAAGAACAGCAGCCGGGTCAGAGCAGGGGCTGTTTTGCCCCTCTTGGCTCTGCCCGGTCCTGCCGAGCAGCTGGTGCTTGGTGAAGGAGCGTGGGACACGTGAGGTTTGTCCCTCCCAGGGCTGGCAGTCACCCCTCTTGTCCCCTGGGGCCCTGTGGCAGGGGACACGCACAGATCTGCACATGGACAGAGGCTCTTTCTGTCCAATGCCCAGTTCCCATCCAAATATTTCTGATATTTTGCCCTTCTGACTGTGCAGAGCATTAAATTGGGGCGCTGGGTGCTTCAAACTAACTTCAGGGGAATCAGGGAGGAGCTGGGGTTGTGAATTCAGCCCAGAGCTGCCCGCCCTGCCAAGCTCTGCCTGGGGAGGAGGAGGAGGAAAGCGTCCTTCGTCTTGACTCAGCCTCTTCACCTTGTCCTGGTCCACAGTGCGCAGGGAGTCCTGGGGAAGCTGCAGTTTGTAGATACGGATCCAGCTTAGATGGAAGAGGCTGAAGCAGGGAGAGAGAGAGAGAAAAGGCACCGCAGAAAGGCCAGGGAACTTCAGGGGAATCAGGGAGGAGCTGGGGTTGTGAATTCAGCCCAGAGCTGCCCGCCCTGCCAAGCTCTGCCTGGGGAGGAGGAGGAGGAAAGCGTCCTTCGTCTTGACTCAGCCTCTTCACCTTGTCCTGGTCCACAGTGCGCAGGGAGTCCTGGGGAAGCTGCAGTTTGTAGATACGGATCCAGCTTAGATGGAAGAGGCTGAAGCAGTGAGAGAGAGAGAGAAAAGCCACCACAGAAAGGCCAGGTGCTGGGTGTGGGTTGACCCAGGGTGTCTCTGCCTGGGTGTTGGCCAAGGTGAGGCAGGGAGGTTTGCACCTGGGGCTCACAGCACCCTCCTTAACTGAAGCTTCAAGCATTTTAAGGCACTTCATCCGTCCCCTTCGAGCCAGGGGAAGCTGCAGTTTGTAGATACGGATCCAGCTTAGATGGAAGAGGCTGAAGCAGTGAGAGAGAGAGAGAAAAGCCACCACAGAAAGGCCAGGTGCTGGGTGTGGGTTGACCCAGGGTGTCTCTGCCTGGGTGTTGGCCAAGGTGAGGCAGGGAGGTTTGCACCTGGGGCTCACAGCACCCTCCTTAACTGAAGCTTCAAGCATTTTAAGGCACTTTATCTGTCCCCTTCGAGCCAGGAGTGCCTAGAACCCAGGTCTAGGTGTCAGCAGGTACCTGCTAAAAGGGTTCATCCATCCCGGAGAGGGTTATGAGAAGATCTAGGCTGGGAAGTGATTCTTCTCCCTCCTCTCCCCTTCCTGGCAGGGTCAGCTCTAGGTTCCTCTTCTGAGTTGAAATGCAGACCTGGGGGCTCAGCTTACTCATTTTTGTCTTTCCATCCTCCTTTTCTCCCCTTAGATGAACTCTTTACCCGCTGAGAGGATCCAGGAGATTCAAAAAGCCATCGAGCTCTTCTCTGTAGGTCAGGGCCCTGCCAAAACCATGGAAGAAGCCAGCAAGAGGAGCTACCAGTTCTGGGACACGCAGCCGGTGCCCAAACTAGGTACGTACAGCCTCTCGGCGTTTTGTTCTCCTTGAGGGAAGTCTTGTGGTCCACAGAGTGCTCAAAGAAGCCCAGAGAAGCTGGTCTCTGGCCAGTGAGTCCCTGGATGGCCTCTCACTGCTGTCCTATCTGGGCTTCAAAGGCATTGATGACACTTGTCCACCATTCAGTGTCACGGTCTGAGTGGCCAGCCCTGCCACCAGAGAGCTGTGCAGGTGGCTGGGGAAGGTCAAGAGGGACGAGGAGCCATTTCAGACATCTCATTTGATGCCTCCTGCATTTGGGCATCCCTTAATCTCAGTCTTTAGCCCTTGAATTGGGTCTCCCCAGCCCTCTGTGCCCAAGTTTCATGTGGGGCATTGCCAGCCTTTCTCCTGCCAAGTCCTAGAGGACCTGGAGCCAACCAGCGCTCCCCTTTTGTGGGGCTGGAGCTTCCCAGCAAGGGGTCCTTCCTTGGTGGGGAAGGTACCTCGGGGTCAGCCAGTGATGGAGCCTCTGGGGAAAGCAGGTCCATGTGCTGAGGTGCCACGTTGTTGGTTTGCTGGGCTCACAGCAGCCTCTGGCACAGGCAGGTCCTTGGGCTTCCCAGCTCTAGTCTTTGCTCCAGCCCTGTCTCCAGTTTGCTCTTGATGCTGTCAGCCGGTGTCAGAAGCGATCTCCTGTCAGCACCGAGGTGTTCCTCAGCTTGGCAGGAGCACTCAGCAGCTGAGCAGATCCAAAAGGAAGAGGAGCGCGTTGCCGCGGAGCTGCCTGACTGGAAAACACTCATTCCAGACCTAATTGGAGCAAATCTGCAACACTCCTGGGGTGCCTGGGGTTGCTTTGCTTAGTCTGTCCACCCTGCATCCCCCAGCAAAGTCCATGCAGAGCTCAGGAGAACTGGGAATGAGTCCCAGCCCATAGTTTCTAGATTTATCCGAAGCTTGTCATGGCTTCCAGTTGGCTGCTCTTTGGTGGTTTCCTTCATGGGGTTGTGTCCAACCCCTCTTGCTGTAAACAAGTACTGGAGAACTGTGTCCAGCTCTGGGGCCACCACCAGCAGAAGGACATGGAGCTGTTGGAGTGGGGCCAGAGGAGGCCCCGGAGATGCTGGGAGGGCTGGAGCCCCTCTGCTGGGAGGGGGGGCTGAGAGAGTTGGGGGGTTCAGCCTGGAGAAGAGAAGGCTCCAGGGAGACCTTGGAGCCCCTTCCAGTCCCTCAAGGGGCTCCAGGAGAGATGGGGAGGGACTCTGGATGAGGGAGGGGAGCCCTAGGAGGAGGGGGAAGGGTTTGACCCTGCAAGAGGGGAGATGGAGCTGAGCTGTGGGGAAGAACTTGTTTGGTGTGAGGGTGGTGAGAGCCTGGCCCAGGTTGGCCAGAGAAGCTGTGGCTGCCCCATCCCTGGAGGGGTTGAAGGGCAGGTTGGAGGGGGCTTGGAGCAACCTGGTGTGGTGGGAGGTGTCCCTGCCCAGGGCAGGGGGTGGCACTGGGTGGGCTTTAAGGTCCCTTCCAACCCAAACCATTCTGTGATGCTGTGACACACCATGCTTGAGTCCCTTTTCGAGGGCAGGTTGGAGGGGGCTTGGAGCAACCTGGTGTGGTGGGAGGTGTCCCTGCCCAGGGCAGGGGGTGGCACTGGAGGGGCTTGAAGGTCCCTTCCCACCCAAACCATTCTATGATTCTGTGACACACCACGCTTGAGTCCCTTTTCCTGTTGTCAGCACCAGTCTCGGGCTTTCTTTGGCCTTGGGGACTGTTTGCTGGGAACAATGGACTCAACTTTGTGCTGGGATGAGTGAGATGGCAGGGGGTTATGTGAGACAGCAAAGTCTGATCTTGCAATTGCCCTTTTTCCCGGAGGATCCTGGATGTGGCAAAGATCATTTCTGCTCGGGTGAACCCTGGGGGAGCGGTGGGAGGTGCCTTCTGGGGAAGGAGAGGCACAAACCAGCCCGTGGCTCCATACACCAAATTGCTGGCTGGGCTCTGGGTGCCAGCAGCTCCCCTGGTCCTTGCTCGGGGGCACGCTCTGGCACACAGTGATTCATACACCAGGCTATTTAGGGTCTGGTAACAAAAGCACTGTGGGATTTTGGGATTTCAGAGTGGTTCAGCACCTGCTCGGGACAGGGAGGACGGCCAGGGGTGAGCGTTTCTGGAAGCCACCCCGGGGGGTGTGATGGGGGCAGTTCTCCCTCTGGGCTTCTCTTCACCTCCCCATTGCCTGGAAACCTTTTCAATCCCTTTTTAAGGGAATTCCTAATTAGTGCTGCTTGGTTCTCCTGGCAGCACTCAAGCAGTGCCGCTGTGTTGACATCCCAAAGAAAGCCGGTGCTTGAACCAACATCTCTTGGCTGAATTGGGGATTTTAGGAGTCAGTGTTTTTTCAACAAAAGTTGTCTTGTTCACTGCAGCTCTTCTTTTAGCACGGTGGGAAGGAAACCCTGGCAGGGACTGGAGCTGGCCAGGAGAGAGCTGCTGTCCCATGGAACAGCCCATGGGAGCGTGCTGGCCAAGGCTGGGACGGTGGGGATGGGGATATGGCATCGTGTGTGGACCTGGAGGACATAGCTCTGAAGCTCTGATGGGTTTGGTCTCCTCTCTGCTGCCCAATGGGCTCTACCTGAAAGAGGAGCTTTGGTTCTCTGCCCCTGTGTCCCATTGAACATGTGGCACGTCCCAAACCAGGGGGAGTGAAATGGTCATCCCTGGCTGCCCGTGACAGCAACTTGGGGTGGGAGATCATGCTGGGAAAGTGGGGCACATTGGTCACCAGATTGAGGTGTCGTGGAGACATTGCCTCAACAGCAGAGAGTACCTTCATGGGTCCCCGCTCTCTCTTACAGGAGAAGTGGTCAACACCCATGGGCCCGTTGAGCCAGACAAAGACAATATCCGTCAGGAGCCATACACTTTGCCTCAGGGCTTCACCTGGGATGCCCTGGACCTTGGGGACAGAGGCGTGGTGAGTACGGGCAGCTCAGCACACGTGTGTTGGGAGGGTGTTGTGTCTCTTGCCACACCAAGCGACTCTCCAGCTCAGTGGTCGCACCATCTCCTTGGAGTTAGATGGGTCCCACTTCCCCCATCGTGCAGTTAGTTCTCTCTCATCCATCCCATGTTGGCCTGGGTTCTTCATGAGCATGAACAGGGTCTTCTCCACATGCTCTTTAAGCTTAAGGATGCCTGTACCTGGGAGTATGCCCTTAGGAAGACCCTCCAGACCGTTACCCACCTCCCTGGGAGATGACCTGAGGGCAGCAGGACTCGTCTCTGTGTGTCCTGCTGCTTACCCTGCTCTGTAGTGGCACCAGTTCAAGTTCAGGGGGACGTGCCAGCAGCAGGGACATGGCTGCACGTGGCTTCCATTCTTGTGGCCACACAAAAAAGATGGTCAAGGTCCAGTCTGAGGGCAGCTGGGGTGTGTGATGGCTGAATGACTCTCTTGACCTGCATGGTCTCTCCTGCTGCAGCTGAAGGAGCTGTACACGCTTCTGAACGAGAACTACGTGGAGGACGACGACAACATGTTCCGCTTCGATTACTCCCCCGAGTTCCTGCTGTGGTGAGTGGCACCGCGGCTGCCTCTGCGTGTCCCCTCGCTGCAATCTCCCTTCCCCATCTGTCACCGTACGTGTGCCACCTCCCAGGTACCCTGCGAGAGGGGTCTCTCGCCCAGCCCTGCCTGCCTCTGCCTTCTTTGAGATACGGGAGCCTAAAACTGGATTATTTTCCTCTTTGGTTTGATCCCCTGAGTGTTTGTAAAAATCCCAGTAGCTGAGGAGCTTCCCAGTGCCCCGGAGCTGTAGGATGACGGTGGCTGCCAAGCGCCGTTGCCAGCGATAACACTTGGAGACCTGTTGCAGCAGAGCTGCTGGTTCCTCGGGGCGTTCAGGGATCGAGGAACGTGACTTCCCTCCTGTGTCACTAGCGAGAATTTGCCATGCCCATCGAGTGCAGGAATTGCCCTGGATCCTGGTGGTCCTGGCTTGTCACATCACTGTCACCCTCCCACCCCCCTGCCTGCAAACCCAGGGCAGCTGGAGCAGGACATGGGGTGTCTCGGGGCAGCATGGGGAGGCAGGAGCAGGTACACAGGAGGACTTTTGATGGGACGTGACTTCTGAAGTGTGTCTCATCTGCAGGGCGCTGCGTCCTCCGGGCTGGTTGCCCCAGTGGCACTGTGGAGTCAGGGTGGTCTCCAGCAAGAAGCTGGTTGGATTTATCAGCGCGATTCCAGCCACTATCCACATCTACGACACGTGAGTGCGGCTCGGCTGCTTCCCTCAACCTG